GCCATCTGAAAAGAAATTAGCTATGTCCCCACCAGAAGCCTGGGAACCCCCAAGCTCTGAGTGGCAGGACTGGAAGTAGAGGCAGTGGGTGGGCACTGGACAGGGGACATCTGGGAGACACTCAGAAGTATGGAGCAGAGCCTCCCTATGGCATAGAGGGTCTCCTCAGCAAATGGGGACTACTTCCTGGCCAGCTAACAGAACCAGAGAATAGAGCCTCTGTCATCTAGGGGTGAATAGCTAATAAAGAGGGAAAAAGCATCACAGCAAAGCAGGGAGCCTTCTAAAGACACTCTGGCTTTCCCCCTACTTTTCACTGGCTTCTGCAATCTAATCACACTGTACCCTAAGATCCCTCAGGTGAAGAGGGAGAGCAGACCTCCTGGGAGCACCATGGAGAGGAAACTGCAGAACTTCAGAAACCCCATCAGGACCTGAGACAGAGCAGAGCACCTAGCTTGTGGGGATGTCATGCTAGGGGAAGTTGGAGCTTTACCACCCGTCCTGCTCTGAGAAGGGACCCAGTCTTTCCGTCTGCTCTTGGCCCACATGCCCGGGACCCAGAGGGGGTCCCTGCTGACTGACCTATGGCTCCTCACTAACACTCTCAGGTGAAGCCCTATAGCCATGTGAACTGCTCAGAGGAGAGCATACGGTGTGTGTTTGTGTGTGTGTGGGGGGGAGGCGGGGCGAGGTGGAGACTCTGCAAACTACACAAGAGGTTCTCAAACTGTTGTGCCACAGAATCCTCTAGAAAACCTACCAAAAATACAGACATCCAGAACCACCCTGGGGCATCTGTCTGCTTAATGAGCATCCCAGGTGCTTCTGATGTACCCTGTGCTTTGAGAACCACGGAGCCCACAGTGGCCGAGGAAGTCCTCCCGAGCTACAATCGAGTGTGCCTGAATCAGCTACACTTGAGAATCACTTGGATGGATTAAAAACAAAGAGACAAGCAGACGAACCAATGCCTCTCTGCCAGAAATTCTGATTTAATTGGCTTAGGGAGGGGACTGGGCATTGTTTTTTATGTTTATTTATTGTGAGAGAGAGAGATAGAGAGAGAACACAAGTGGGGAAGGGGCAGAGAGAGAGGCTGAAGCAGGGCTCCAGGTTCTGAGACATCAGCAGAGAGTCCAACGTGGGGCTCAAACCCACAAACCATGAGATCATGATCTGAGCCTAAGATGGACACTTAACCAAGAGTCACCCAAGCACCCCGTTTAAAAAAAAAACAAACAACTCTCCAGGTGTTTCTAATATATGGCCAAAGTCGATAGCCAGGAGCATCACTTACAAAAACCGACAGTTCCCTAAATTTCTGGGTATTATGAAAAGACAGACTGACCCGCTCTGAACAGGGTTACGGTCACAGTGATTGATTCTGTGATAAATAACCCAAAGTGAAACAGAATAAGTGTCAGAAATAGAGGGGAAGTATGGAACAAACAAACAAAACAAAATCCAAACCTGTATCACACCCTCGGGGGGGATTTAAAAGGATAAATATCAAAAGAACAGAATAGGTACTAAGAAAAAGGAGTCCAAGAAATATTAAAAATTCTTGGAAATGAAAAGCATGGTAATCAAGCAGGCCTCCCTGTACTCAGGGAGGAAAAGAAAAATTCATTAAAGTGTAAAATCACAGAACAAACACCCATGAAAACCAAACTGGTGGTTCTGAAGAGTAATTCAGGAAATTCTATCCTTGAACATAGAATAGAAAGACTAAGGGATGGGAATTATAGAAGAGAAAAGATAAAGAGTTATGGCTGCACCATCTCAGAGGTTCAGAATTTCTACAAAAGGATTTCCTGGAAAGAGAAGATAGAACAGAAAAAAAAAAGTAGTAGTGATTTTAAAGAAATAAATAAATAAAAGGAGGGAAAATACCTTGAGTTAAAAAAAGATTAGAAGAGGGGCGCTTGGGTGGCTCAGTTGGTTAAGCGTCTGACTTCGGCTCAGGTCATGATCTCACAGTTCGTGGGTTCAAGCCCTGCGTTGGGCTCTGTGCTGACAGCCAGCTCAGAGCCTGGAACCTGCTTCAGATTCTGTGTCTCCCTCTCTCTCTGACCCTCCCCTGCTCACGCGGTCTCTCTCTCAGAAATAAATAAAACATTAAATTTTTTTTAAATTAAAAAAAATAAAGAAAGATTAGAAGGGATTAGAATTAGAATTTCTGGCAGTGGATCAGATTAGAAGGGATGACCTAGGGCATGTCAAAACTATTAGAAAGAAGATACTCATCTACAAACTATTTTCTTTTAACGGCTGACAGAGAAATGTCAGTCGCAAAATATTGGTTTGCAATGTATCAGGTTAACATACCTATCAAGAAGAATGGGATTTGGAAGAGGCAAAGGGAAATTTCTATTTTTTCTAATTAAAAAAATTAATGTCTATTTAGTTTTGAGAGAGGGAGAACCCACTCATGAGTGGGGGAGGGGCAGAGAGAGAAGGAGACACAAAACCAAAGCAGGCTGCAGGCTCCAGGCTCCAGGCTCTGAGCTGTCAGCACAGAGCCTGACATGGGGCTCGAACCCAGGAACTGTGAGATCCTGACCTGAGCCGAAGTCGGATGCTTAACCAACTAAGCCACCCAGGCGCCTCTTCTATTTTTTATTTTACACACTTCATTGTTATTTGTATGAATTGATGCCATTTTTAATTAAAAAATTAAAAGTAAACGTGACTAGAATAGAAACTAGAGTAACAAAAGCTAATACAAAACTTGATTAATAAAGCAAAAATCAGGGAAGAGGAAAAGAAACAAAAGAATGAGATCCAGAAAACATAAAATATCAGGTAAAAGATAAAATATATATGAACCAAGTAAATGTAACTGCTTGATATCCCAATGTCCAGAGCAACACAGAGAAAAGTGAGCACAGAACACAAAACAGTCAAGTCACAAGAGGAAAATGAATACCAAATGATCACGAGAAAGGATTCTTGAATCTTTTAACAAAGAAACGAAAAAACAATGAGATTTTCATCATACTTGCAAAGATGACAAAGATTGATAATGTGTGGGTTGGGGAGAATGTGGGGAAATGGGCACTTTTAAGCTATGGGCATGGGAAAGATTTGTTAGAACTTTGCTCAAGAGGAATTTGGCTGTGTGAACTAAAATCAAAATACATCTGCCAGTCCTCACATTTTCACTCCCGGAAATTTATCCTAAAGTAATAATTGGACTGGTGTGCAAGCATGTTTCTTGCATCGTTGTTTACAGAAGCAAAAAAAAAGGAAAAAAAAGGATATAACTTTAATATGAATGACCTGGGGGCTGGTTAAAAATATTACACTCTACTCACACAAGGGCACACTATGTAGTTATTGAAGAGGATAAGGTGGATTTATATGCATTTACGTGATATAATCATTTAAAAATTATGGGACAATGTACATGTAATGAATCCATTTGTGCAAAAGAATATGATACTATATATACATAAAGATCTAAAAGGACAGACTTTAAACCAAAGTTTTCCAAGCTTCCTTAGTTCATGGCACTTTCAGTGTGTCAGTAACTTTTTCATGATGCCCCTGGGCCAAAACCAAAAAACAAATAGCGTAACAGCTTTGTTCATGAAACAATCAGGTCCAAAGGACTTAATATATATTTACATCCTAAAAACTTAGTAGCTGTAGAATACATATAAATTGAAAGAAAAAATAATGCTTACTTCATTCTTAAATAACCATAATGTGTGTGCCTGATAGACACTGAGTATCTTCTCAAACTCTGGAATCAGACCAGACCCCACCATATTCATTTTCTGTTCCATTTTGATTTTTGCCCAGTACTTGATTTTTATCATGGCAACTGCCCTGACAACTCAGATCTGCAAAGATGTGACATCACCGAAAGGAAGGTAATGTGAAATGTTGAAAATGGCGAAGTACCTTAAGCTGGTGCTTTCTGCAGTATATCTGACCCATGTCAAATGCCACAGCGCTTCCCTCAAAGATCCGGAATATCCCAGGCTAACCCTGGGAAATCTCTGCCATGGCGCAGTTTGGGAACTGCAGTTTAAACCATCAACAAAGATTCTTTCTGGAAAATGAGACTGGATCGGAGGGAGAGAGAATTTTCTTCGTTCTGTACATCTGCATAGTTTGGACTTTTATAATAAGCAACATATAAAGGTAATAAGAGACTTCTCTAACTTTTTTTATACACTTTTTTTTTTTCATTTCAAGAAAAGAAGCCAGAAAAACAGCAAGAGTGAAAGCGAATGAGGGTGATATAAAGAAATGAAAAATGAAATAAAAAGTCTGTTAGCCCAGGGACAGAGGACGCACAGCACCCGCACTGAATGTGTGTGCGCGTTTCCCTCTGTGATTGCGACTGTGGTCCAAATCCCTCTGGGCTTCAGCTCCTCGGCTATTAAAGTACAGGCACCCACTTCCCGGCTGGGTAAAGGGCTACTTCCAGTTTCTCCTGAAGAGGAGAGTGATAGAAACCACGGCTTTCGAGCTGGGTTCTAACCCTAACTCTGCTACCCATTTGCTGTGTGATCTCGAGCAAGGTCATTAACTCCTCTGTGCCTCAGTTTCCTCATCTGTTCAGTGATGAGAAGAATAATGTTTCCCTGTCATGGGGAGTCCACGTGAGACACTTACTGGGTGGCCAGAGCCGAGTAAGCGCCACCTATTATTATCAGTGTTGTTCCTGCACGCATATAAACAAGTCGGCCAGCAGATATTTTTCCCTCCAGCAATGAGAACTAAGAAACACGAAGGACTGTCCCTGTTATCATGACACCCAAGGGTCAGAGCAGCAAGCCACTAAGGATCCACGTACAAACCAAAGGTACAGGGAAGTAGAACCACGTATGAGCAGGACGCAGTCAGGAGATAACTTGAGGGGTTTCTGTTCTAGTGATAAAAAGAGTCCAATTAAGACAGGAAATAATGTAATTTCACGATCTCATGAATTTCCCCCCATATCTTCTTCTTTCTCAAACATTGAAACTTTTTTTTTTTTTTACCTCATCTCTATGTCCCATAAAGTGATATCATCACTGATCCAGGGATTGGACGGCTCAGCCGGCGTGATCAACGGATCGTATTCCACATACTGTTCTGTGTAAGCAATTAAGCTGCAGGAGGGAAGCAGAGTGAAGAATGCATAAAAACTTGCATTTTTTACACACACGTCGTAACTGTCTTTCCATAATTCTCAGTAAAAGGGAAAATGACAAATTGGACTGTTTCTATTTAGGCTCGTTCCCATTTAGGCTCGTTCCCTTCTCACGAGGAACGTATTGATTTTGCATTCCTGCAGTCAGGGCATAGCTAAGCATGTCATATCTTTTCCCCACTCACTCTTTACCTGGACCCTGGTGCAGCTCTCCTGGTGGCGCTGGCCTGACTGATACACAGGTCCAGGCCTGCTTGTGTTTCACCCTCTCGCGGAGGCTAGGGACCTCAGGGCAGCCGGGTCACACCAAGGACACTCCCAGCTGCCAGACAACTGTTCCCGACTGGGCTACTTCCTTATGACAAAGACTAAAATCCTGACCGACCAGAAGGAGGTCATGCATTGTACGCATTTATCCACAAAGCAACTTTGCTTTTCCAGTTATAATTTAAACGGCCACCTAATCTTTTTAAATGAAATCTTTATTGTATCAAAACGCATGTGGTTAAAACAATAAAACAGTACTAAATGATTTCACACACACAACAGCAATAGCGATTTTTTTCTCCTGTCCCTTCTCACAGAAATGTCTACTTTCTACCCTTCTGTTTCTTTTAGCATTTACCGGTGTATTTCTAAATTGAGTTTTATAGTTGTTCTTGGTTATCAATTTTATTTATTTAAAAATTTTTTTAAGTTTATTATTTATTTTTAGAGAGATACAGAGACAGCATGAGCAGGTGAGGGGCAGAGAGAGAGAGAGGGAGAAGAGAGAGAATCCTAAGCAGGCTCCACACTGTCAGCAGAGATCTCAATGCAGGGCTCAAACTCATGAAACTGTGAGATCATGACCTGAGCTGAAACCTAGAGTAGGGTGCTTAACTGACTGAGCCACCCAGCTGCCTCTTGATTATTTTAGATGAGGATTTAACTTTTTCTTCACCAGTCCCAACTCTTCACTTTCTCCACGATACTCCTAATAGACGTATAATACTTTTTGTTAAATCAACAGTCAGTGTCTACATTGTGGAACTAGATAAAAATTGTTTTCCACACCTTCCAAATGTTCTAGCAAATCTGTAAAACACCTAGCAATACTTTTTCCACATCTTTTTTTTTTTTTAAGTTTATTTATTTTGAAAGAGAGAGAGAATGAGAATGAGAATGAGCAGGGGAGGAGCTAGAGAGAATGGACAGAGGATCCGAAGTCGGTTCTATGCTGACAGCAGAGATCCTGATGCTGGGCTCAAACTCAGGAACCGTGAGATCATGACCTGAGCCGAAGTCAGACACTTAACTGACTGAGCCACCCAGGCGTCCCCAATTTTCCCACATCTTAAACACATTAGCTAATCGTTGTTCAGGTCTGTCTCCCTGTCTCCTGGAGGTCCTCTCTCCAAAGTCTGGAACCCTCTTGCTCCAGTCTGAACTGTTTGCTCTACACACTTGATGTGAAATCACCCTCCTGGGATGTCCTTGACTTCTGTCTGTGCTTGCTTCTGGGACTTAATGTCCATCTACTGGCTTTACTCCCTGGTTGTGCTGAAATACTCCTTTAGTGGTTTCCTACAAAAGGACACATAAAAGCTAATGGTTTCAAGTCCTTGCAGGTCTAAAAATATTTTTATTTTATCTTTATACTTGACTGAAAGTGCTGGACACAGAACTCCAGGTTAAAAATCATTTTCCTTCAGAAATCTGAAGGTGTTGCTCCACTGTATTTTTGGCATCCAGTGTTACCACTGAGAAGTGTGGATCCAGTTTGATTCTTGTTCTTTTGCTTAATTTCTCTCCTCTCTGGGAACAGAATCTTCTCTTTATTGCTACAGTGCCCTGAAATTTCACCCTGGCTTTTGCTGGTTTTTATTTACTGTGCTGGATACAATGTGCAATAGATAAAAAATATATCCCAGAAGTATCATTTCTTTGTTAATTTCATACCCTTCATTTCTCCTGTTTCCTCTTTCTATAAGTCTTTCTAGTTGAATACTGGACCTTCTGGATTGATAATCTAATTTTTCTAAATTTTCCCTGCCGTTCTCCATCTTTTTGTCTTTTTTGTTTGATGGTTCTTCTCACCTTGTTATTTATTTACTTTTAAAAAATTTGGGCTCACACTTTCTTAAGCTTCCAGGGCTCACTTTTATTTATCACAGGATTTAATTTTTGATTTATGGATAAAATATTCTGGTATCTGACATTAATATTTCTGAGGATGTTAATTCTGTATTTTTATTGTCTGTTTCTTGAATAGGTTTTTGTTCCTCCAAGTCCCCTTTGCTCTTTGTTTGCCTCCTACTCCCTCACATTGGGGTTTCCCTTGAGTGTCCGGAAAAGCTCTGGACATCACTTGTGCTTAAGAGGGAGATTCTCCAGCCTGCTTAGAGGCTCTGTGTGTCTGTGGACAGGGCTTCATCACCAGGTCATGGGCAGCTCACCCATCTTCTCACTAGAGCTCCAGATGAATGATTTGGGGGCTTTTCTTTGGGGACATTGATCTTTCTCTAGAGCAATGGTAACTAAACATTTTCTGTAAGACAAAGCAAATATTTTAGGTTTTGCAGGCCAGATGGGTCCCTTGCAACTCCTCAGTTCTTCTGTTGCAGTAAAAAGCAGTCACAGATGATTCATGAATGAATGCCTGTGACTGTATTCCAATAAAACTATATTTATAAAAACAGTAGAATGGAAGAGTAGAGTAGATATGGCCTACAGGTTGTAGTTTTCTAATCTCTTGCCTGTGGGCATATACATCTGGCTCCTGGAGGGTAGAGAACCAGGCAGGGGGTGGGGGTTGGAGGGTTGCACTGTTCAGTATGTAGATAATTCACTTGTTTTCAGGGGGCCCTTTATGATATGACATGCCTGTATTCTGAGCTGATGAATAAGCTGTCCATCTCCCTGGTGGTAGCAAGTGGGAGAGATGGTCTCCTAGTGGGGCAGGGGTCTAGGGATCCAAAGATCCAAAGACAGACTTTACCCATTTCTCTGGATTAGTCCCATGCTTCATTTTTTCCTTCCATGGTCTCCAGTACCTCCAAGAGCCAAGACCAGATTTTTGTAGGGCAATCTGGCTCACTTTGTTATAATACTCAGACTCTTATCACGTAGATTATAATGTTCTTCACTCTGTCCCCTACCACCTTCTTTTTTTAAATTAAATTATGGAATATTTCAGGAATACAGAAAAGCATAAAGATTATAAGGCCATCGCCCTGTACTCACCACCCAATTAAAAAAAAATACAATAGAGACAGAGGCCTGCGAATATGCCCTAATTCCATAGACTACCTTGGAAAAATTTGTTGAAACTATTAATCCATTCATTTGTTGACCTTGTCAGTTCCTATCATTTTTATTCCTTTACTGACATGTTCCTTTTGAGGAGGGAGACAAGATAAACGTACGTCCGTAACGTTGTCTTTTGTGACTTTATAATTTATGTAATCATTTCCTTTATATTAGACAAAGATTAAAACATTTTTTTAGCATACATACTGCTGTAGTAGAACACCATTGTTCACATAAGTTTTCCATCTTTTGGGTTATTTATTTAGAATTAACATCTATAAGTAGAATTATGAAGCCGGAAATTATGAATATTTTTATGGTTATCGATCCATGATAACGCTTTTCCCTAAGCACTGCCAACTTGAGTGTCACCAATCTCTCCTGCAATGATAAATTCAGAGCCACATGCTTACTACTGAATTGCAGAGGGCAAGCATGGCCCATTACTGCTGACAGTGTGAAGAAATTAGCCAGCAGCTACATTTCATTACCAAGTGTGGTCCACAAACCAGCAGCACAGTTATCACCTGAGAGCTTGCAAGAAATGAAGAATCTCAGGCTCTCCCCACCCCCCCACTTAAGACCCACCCAGTCAAAACTTGCATATGAATCAGATTCCCCAGGTGACTCATATGCATGGTGAAGTGTGAGAAGCACCACATCTTAACTTTTGATTTTGTGAGGGGCTCAGGACACACATTTTAACCATCCAATCAAAATGAAGGAGACTGTGATACTCTTGGTTTTAGACATGACCACAGATTTCCTATCCCCTCACAAAGTGCCCAGGCAAGGCTTCATCCGTAAGAGCTTGGTAGCATCCTAAGGCTCTAGGGCAGCACTGTGGCAGGAAGGGTCACGCTACAAGTCGGTGCTGTCACAGCTCCACAGGGAGTTGTCCCTTTGCCATGTGCACTAATTCCTTTCTTTCTGAAAGAAATGGGTTGCATGTTAAGGTACATATTAGTTTCCTGGGGCTGTTGTAACAAAATACCACAAGCTTGCTGGCTTGAAATGACAGAAGTCTTTCTTACTTCTGGAGTTTGGAAGTCTTCACTCAAGGTATCAGCAAGTCTATGCTCCCTCTGGAGGCTCAAGAGGAGGAATCCTTCCTTGCCTCTTCCAGTGGCTCCAGGCAGTCCTTGGCTTGTGGATGTCCAACTTCCATCTCTGCCTCTGTCCTCATGTGACTTTTCCTCGGTGTCTGGGTCTTCTCCCCTTCTCTTGCTTACATGTCTGTCATTGGATTTAGGGACCACCCGGATAACCCAGGATGATTTCATCTCCAGATCCTTAATTTAGATTTGCAAAGGCTCTTCCCAGATAAGTCACATTCACGGGCTCCATGGATGAGGACTTGGACATACCCTTTTGGGGGCTACTATTCAACCTACTGCAGGGAACATGAAGGAATCTAGGCATGGGAACGGAAAGGGCACACTTGACCACCTGCCTCCTTCGCTCAGATTGGCACAAAAACAAACCGGCAGCTGGTAACCTTAATCCTGTTTGAAGGACGACGGTCCACGTGAGATGTGTCTGAGTCATGATGAGGCGTTGGGGGCTTTCCTGATTATGACATTTTTGGGCATCCACAGCATTCTCAAAATTTGCGATGGTGGGTGTGGTCCATGGGGCTCTCTTCAGCAGTGACCCCTTTGCCCTCCC